AGAAACTTCGGATAAAGGTGAAGCAAGCTCATCAAAATCATCATTATTACCACCAATATTATTATTGGATTGTTGATTAATTACATCACCCTCGGGTACAGTTGGTAAGCCTATACCATAATCCGAATCTATGTCCTCGTACAGATCTTCTGCATTACCATTTGATTTTCTACTGTCGTCATTGATTATTAACGTTGAAGCAGTTGTATTACTACTACTTTTCATACTCGCTTGCATATGTCTTTGATCTTGTTCATCTTTTTCTTCCACTAAAAATTTCGTGGCAATAATAACATCCTTTACAGATTTATCAACGAGATTTGTCGAGGTTAAAACTTGTTCCATGGCATTATGAGGAGTAGATGGATCAGTGGCATGTTGAGTACACATGACTAAACCAGCGATACTATTATATAACGCTTGTTTAACAATTTTGAATTCCTTAATCGAATTTTGACTTGTCTCATCTAAATCTTCAAGATTAATATCTTCAATTAAATTTAATAATTGTCCAGTTTGTGTCACAACTTGACGTGTTTGTGCAATTAATTGAGGAGCGAATGCAGCGTTACTCGCAATTGCGCCCCGGGGTGCAGCCATTGTTTTACGAATATGATTCAGCAATAATGTTATCGCTTTCGCGACTGTTCTTGATATATGATCGAGTGAGGTAAGTAGATCTGGTGTTAATGATCGAGTAGGTCTAGTGTGATGTGGTGCCCCGTTCATCGAATCTCCTTTATTCTCATCATCATCAACAGCAACACCGTTACTATATTTTCCATTTGTCACTATCGTGCCATTATTAGGATAATTAGGAGGTAAATTATTACCATGCCAAGCTCCGCCATTTACACTTTCTAATATTTGAGGATCAACAAGTTTTATTTCGACAGTATGCTCGGCAGCTTGTATGAATTGTCTTACAGCCACTAAAACTTCATCAGTATCATTTTTCATTTTTTGAGCTGCATCAGGTGGTGGCCAAACACCCGAAGCAACTTTTGTAGATAATACTAATTTTGATAACGAAGTCAAAATGTGTCGGTGGCATATTTTAAGCGTACAATTTTGTCTTATTGCCGGTGATTCTTTTTCAACCGTTCCAGAAGCATATAACATGATTCGTATACGTTCAACTATAGAATTTGTACATGATGTGTAACTGTATTTTTGATTTTCTTTTGCTGCTAAATTTAATTGATGAATTGACATTATAATTGAATTTGACAAAGTTTCCCATGTTAAAGTGTCGTTATATGGGGGTGAGGGTGAGCGATTCATATCTTCTTGTTGGTGGTGGTGCTGCTGCTGCTGTTGAAGAAGTTGCCGCATTTGTAAGTGATAATCAGCGGGGGTTGAATTATTTATTGATGGTTGTGGTATTGATCCGGAAGTTTTAGACGCTGTTGAAAATTTACGTCTTTGCGGTGGCGATGTTGGTAATGCTGCCATTGGTTGGATATGTAATTTATTCATTTGATGATGTTCATCAATAATATCACTAATTTCATGATGATGATCATTATCTTCGTATTCACCATAATCTCTGGTGAGTAATTGACCAGTATCCATATCAACATTATCTAAACTCCATGTTGTTTCATCAGTTAATTTATTAAAGTAGTAAATTCGACCTTGTGGTGTCATTTTTGAGCCCCAATTTGGTGGTAATTGAATTTCATCGCCATTCGCATCTTTTTTGAGATGTTGATATGTGTCAAATGTACTAACACTCAATCGACTTCCTTTTGAACTTGCAATACTTTCTTTATCGTCTTCATCATTATCCTCTTCTCGTACTTGTTTGTATTGTTCCACTGCTTCTTCCACTCTTGATGAATTGGTACGGTGATGTTGGTGATGATGATTTATATTGTTACTACTTAATGATTCGTTTGCTTCTTCATCTTTAATTTCTCCGATATCATCAGAGTTATTTGGTGACGATTCTACAACGTTATTATTGGCTGTTGAATGCGATGTTCCATTCATTGTTACAGAAGGCTCATTATAATCCATATTATCATCACCATTATTATTTCCATTTCCTAACATTGTGTCTCCATTACTTCCACCACCCGGATACGTCCACCGGATTTCTTGTGTTTTTGTATTTAAATAATAATACGTGGTTCCGTCTTCTGTTGGTTGTTGTATCCAATCTTCTGGTAATTGCCTCGGTGGTCTCAACGCACTAATTGATCCTGAACGAGGTGAATCACCTGCACGATGTGTATAATTATGATGATTATTCGTACTACTACCACCGTGCACTGATGAATTATCGCGTGTAGTTGATCGAGTTGTAGTAACTGATTCGTTATCATCTGCTGGTAAATCCCATATTGATTCTTGAGTTTTTACATTATAATAAAATATTTCTCCATCTGGAGTCTCTTGAGTTATCCAATCAGACTATAAGAGTTGATTGAATTAATGGGGTTTGTCATAAATATATGCGCATATAAAGAATTTCTTCCAAAAGAATGCTAAGACCATTCTGCCCAACACTTTTTTTTAACTGTTCCACCCTTCCCAATACTATACCTGATGCTCATCATCGTAAAGCAGCATTTAAACCTAACGCTCTTGTGACCAGTGAAATGCGGCCAAAGATGAAAGATATGGTTGGTAATTGGTAAATGATAATAGCAAACCAAAAGTGAATATTATCAAACGTGACTTGTGAGAAGATGGTCTAAACGCTGATTTTCAATTATGTAAATACAAGAAATAGAACAAATTGTTGTGCACATTGAATTATTTCATTAGTCAAAAAAAAAGTACATTAGAGGAAATAGCTGCTCATAAAGTTATTTTTATCCGAAGTTTACTGTGAATTGAATTTTATTGAACGATATGTAAAATTGTGATTATTCATGCTCGGGTTTGCAATGTATTGTTCCTGCCAATTTGGACTCCGTTAATATAATTACAAGATTTGTCCAAAAGGGCATGGAGTTATGGATTTATATTACTGGTAAATTGCAACCAAAATGTAGATCTCATCGTCGAATTCCCGATCAATTTGAATGTTAAAATCACGTGAAATCTTATCCAAAATGTTTACATAGCATTTTAATATATTTTTGTTGAAAATAAAATAACAGTTAGGTAATTTTTAACCCACCTTGTAACGATTCGTGGTTTGATTTCACGCTAGAAGTATACTGTAAATCCCCGAAAATAAGCTACCTCCCATTTTTCGATCAAAAATCGAGTGCAAAAAGTATATGTAAACAAATTTAACCACGAAAACAAGCTACACGCTTTTTTGCAAGCCGAAATTTTTGCAAAAATAGTATCTTATTTTCGGGGATTTACAGTAACTATTGCAACCAGAAGGGAGAGCAATATAGTGAAGTGATGATGAACATTAAGTAATTATACAACTGAAAACATTTCCTATGTGGAAGAACCAAGTTTTTTGTATTCACACTGTCTGATCACTATTTCCCTCTTCTGAGTAAATATTCTCTCATAATACACACATATCAATAACTTAATCTTTTTGTCATAATTTTCTAAATTTGCCTTGTAGCCAAACACGATACATTTTTAGTTTCCTGTGTCGGTTGACGATCAAACGTCGATCTACTGCATTCTGTTCTATTTTAAATCGCGGATTCCATAATGATTCAATTTCGTCTATAAAATCATATCATATTTAACTATGTGATCAAAACGTAAAATGAATCAATACTCTTAATACGAAAGATACGAGACACTTGCCTGTAGTGAAAAAATATACTCTAGTTCCATCGCCACGTACGTAAAAATTCTCGGAAAGCATTCGACCCTCTTTAAATCTCAATTGAACCATATCATATCGACCATAATCTATTTATATAACTTTCAAAATTATATTTCAAGACTTTTACTTTTTGCTGCTTATTGTAAATATTTCTAAGCTCATACCTCTAAACAGAATCAAACCACCGGGTTTAAGCATCTTTGAGACAGCAATAGCAGCAATAATAATATTCATATGCAAAAATACAAATTAAAAATTGCGAGCACGCGAATAAATTTAAACGACGGCATATCATCTGTACCTTGTATACATTCTCTACCGCCTGCTTCCACTCTTCGGGACGTAATGCCGATAAGACGAATATCAACACGATAATGTCTATAGACTCGGGTTGTATACATGAAGGAATATCTGTGCTCGTCAGATCCCATACAAAGACTCTGCTATTCGTCGGATTGAATTCAGGGTTATTCTGGAAAAAATCAGATAATCGGATATAAGTATTATATTCATATAGATATTTATGAGACAATTGTGTCAAAAGAAGACATAATTCATAATACCTTGACAACCTCAACGGCGGTCGACGAAAAATCACATGCATAAATAAAAAGGTCGGTGTTCTCGTTTATGGTTAATAATGGAAACAATGTGTTTCCTGCACCACATCCGATTTCAAATACTCTTTTTGGGCCAGACTTATATTTAATTAGTTAAAATATTAATTAAACTAATAATTTGAAACACATATAAGTTAACATACATTAGCGATTGTAGTTGAGTGTAATTCCGGAAATTCAATTTTGAGCCAATTTCGATCCTTGAAAAATCTATTTTCGTTCTTTTGATAAAAAGCGTTCCAGTATTCGGCAGCTTCCGCGTGATATCGCTCTTAAGAAACGTAAGATCATCGTAAAGCGTTTCTTTTTATCATTAAAAAGAAATAAAATTTACCTTGGTCTTCAGGAGTTACTAATCTATTTGACTGTTTCGATATTCGCTCTTGCGCGTATTTCTCTTGATCTTCATCCCATATAACATTATCCCTGAGAATTTAGGCCCAATAAAGCTTTAAATGTCAACTTTGGGAAGGTTCAAATATATAATACAAGTTATAGTAGCATTACCAGGCATTGTGATTAAATACATCATCACTATTTCTCAGTAATCGCGTACCAAAAGTTGTAGACGACGAAGAAAAACAGTCTATGCCTCCCCCATCGCGAACATCTTGAACACTTGAAACTTTCTTTTTATTATCTGTATTGTTGTTAATGCTTTCTTCGGATGATTCTACAATGATAGAATGTTCGATGCATGGGTCTTTAGTTGGTGAGCTCATTTTTGTTTTGTCGCGTCAAATATCAAGATAACGATAACTTGTATAATTTGACTTGATTATAGCATCTATGTACCACCCGATTTGGGGGGAACACTAAAGCGGTAGTGCAATCCGGATTGAGTCGATCTGTGTTGATTTGATTCGGATTTACATGTAGTGTTACATGCAAAATAAAATAAACTTTTCGAGAAAACATTCTCATATAGATGGAAGCTAATTATTTGGAAAATATAATCCAGATATCCTTGAACAAATATTAACATAATCATCACTTAATAAATATTTAGAAACATAACCAATTATCCAAAATATACCTGTTACCTCAACCTTTATTTTCTCATAGTTTTTATGTTAAACACAGACTAATTAAGTTTATTAAGACTAATAACATTTACAACTATTAATGTTAAAATATATAATATACTCACTCATCATACATACTTATAATTTCTTTATATATTTTGTTTTTTCTTTATATTTTCACATTTCTTTATGATGATTTATTATCTTTTATTAGAGAATTACCAATTAAAGAAATACAATTCCTTAAAGTATCAAGCCTCATATTTCTTATTATTTCTCTATTTCTCTTTAATATGCAAGCAACAAATAAAAAATGTCTTAGTAAATTTAATATTAACAAATTATTTGAAGTTTCAGAAAAGAAATTTTGTGAAAATTTGTAATTACTTATTTTTAACATGTAAATATGATATAATAATTAGAAGTGTAAGAATAATAATTTTTAAATTATTTACTTCTATTATCTAATAAAATATAAAGAATCAAGTATATATAAAGAAGATATTTCTATTGAGAAGCAAAGAAAAATTAGTAAGCTTGATCCTGAAAAGTATGATGCAAGAATAAAAATAATAAATATTACTTTAACTCAAATAGTTTGTATTGAATATTTCAAAAATATATCTAATTATAGCTATCTAATTAAAGATAATGACAAGATTAAATAATTTGAAATTATTAGATAAATGATAACCAATGAAATAATAAAATTATATATATTATTAGTCATTATAATTACTATTAAAAAACTAGTAAAAAAGAATAACTTAGATATTATTAATCAAAATCTATATTAAATTAAAGTCATTAATATTTAACAAAAGATATATAGATTATTAATAGTTTATTTTATAGATAAGATAGATTTAGAACTTAATACTTAAAATTCTTTCAAGTTATTAGTTAGCAAAAATTATAAAGTTAAATATTTTTAAGATTATTAAATAATTATTAAAAGATTTTTACTTCATAAGTTCTTAATAATTAAAAAAATTATAATATTATGAGTGACTTATACTTATAAATTTCACTTATAATATTAATAAATATTCTTAATATTTATTTATTTTATATATTTATAATAGTTATAATTTCTAGAATATAAATATATACTTTCTTCTAAATAATAAAGATAGTAATATAATAATCAAAATATTAAAGATAATTTGAAAATTTATATTTTATTAGTATTCTTAATTAAAGATGACTTCTTAACTAGTTGTGACTTATGATAGCTAATTAGAAAGTTATGATAGAATTGCAGTAGCCAATCAGAGAATTGTAACAAAATTATAACTAGTTGTAGCTCTCATCACTATTCTTAATATATATTTAATAATCAAAGTAATATAAAGATTAATAATATTATAAATACTTTTACTGATATTATATATAACAAGTAAAATTATAATATTATTTTATATATTATTTATATAATATATACAGTGTGGTCCATAAGTATCTGGAAAATTTTTTGTGGAAAAAAAATATGCATATCTTTACCAAATTAAGGCCAATTTTCATAATTTAAAATGGAAAAGAATCGTCATAAGTGGGTTATTCACAGAACTTCTTCATGATACCATTTCTTTTATTTTTTTTTCTTTTTTACTTTGGTATAATTATGACTTCCAAGCAAGAAACCAATCATCAATTCATTTTATAATTGTAGAATCAGGGTATTCAAGATGTTAAAGAAATCCATACCATAACTAACATATCCCTTTCAACAATATACGACAATATTAATAAACTCAAAAAATATAACACAAATAAATATGCTAGAAGTAAAGGTAGACCCAAGAAGATAATCACATGAGCATTAAAGATATTAGATCAATATATACGAAGAGATTCATCTATTTCAATGAGAACTCTGGTGACGAAATTATCAAAAATTGATGTAAATGTATCTCATCAAATAGTTAGAAGATATTTAACTATTCTTGAATACAAAAAAGCAATCCTACTAGAAACGCTGATGCTTACTGATACTCATAAACATAAACATATAGCATGAGCTCATGAACATCTTGATGATAATTGGGATAATACTTTCTTTTTAGATAAAACAGCTTTTAAACTCTTTCAGAATATGATAGAGTGCTGGTACAAGAAAGCATGACTGATATGACGTATACCCAAGAATCAAAGAAAGATTTTTGTGTGGGGAGAATTTTGTATAAATGGTAAAAGTAGTTTATTTTGTTTTTCTGAAATTATAGATGCCAAATTCTACGTCAATATCCTTCATGAGCATACTCCAGAAATTGAGCAATTGATAGAAGATGAATGGCGGTTCTAGCAGGATAATGATCTGAAACACATGAGCCATCTTGCCAAAGTGTTTCTTGAAGAAACTATGTCCAAAGTTTTGGACTGGCCATCTAATAGTTCCAATTTGAATCCCATCAAAAATCTCTAGTATATTGTTAAGAATAATGTGAAAAAGTGTATGCTAAAAAATTTAGACAAACTGTGTCATTATATGATAAATGAATAGGTGGATATTCCTGAGTCTACTCTAATTAATTTAATTAGATCTATGAGGTATCATTGTGAGCTTGTTATAGAAAGCAATGGCGAGCGTATATCATATTAAAAATAATATAATAAATTAGCTAGTTTTAATCTTTGAAATATATAAATTTCATGTGATTTAAGTTATTAGTTATGATGTGACGAATAATTTTTTAATTCCGAATACTTATAGATCACACTGTATATGACTATATAATATTTATTATTTAATAATATATAATAAATTAATTCTAGTTATATATAAAAAAATAAGTATAGATTATAAGAAAGTAATTTATAATATTATTATTACTTATTTTATTCTAGATATTATTTGCTATATTTAATATAATTATTTGAAAAATATAAAAAAATAGATAAATTAATATTTATCTCTCTTATTTTAAGTTATTTCTATAAATTTATTAGAATTATTTTATAATAAATTAAAAAGATTAATTATAAAGAAATATAATTTAATTAGTAAGTACTATCAATTATAACTATATCATATTTTTCATTATTATTATTATTATTAAATTATTATTTCTTGATTTATTATAAGATTATTAAGTTTAATAATAAAAAGTAATTAAATTTAAAAAAGATTATCTTTAACTTTTACTAAAAGTAAATCTTTATAATTAATATTAATAATGAAATTATTAAGAAAATTTGAAAATTTCTATATTTAATTTAAAAATTAATCTTAAGTAAGTATAATAATTTTAATTGAATTATCTATTTTTAGCTTAGATTTTTATTTTATATTATTTATATTATAAATTAGCTTCTGTATCACTTTTTATAAAGATCAATTTTATTTTGAATATATAAATAATTATTTATATATTTAATAAAATTTAATATATTATTATATAAATAATTACTATATATATCTATATTATTAACTTAGTTAATTAATATTTTTAATTAGATTTTTTTTTAATTATTTTTTTATATTTTACTTATTCTTACTTATTATTATTATATTACTATTTATTATATTATTAATTATTAAATTATAATTAATTACTTTTTGAAGATATAAATTAAGTTAATTAATTATGTTTAATATATATGTATTTTAATTAGAAATTATTATTAATTTATTTATATTTTATATTATTGTGATATGAACTTTTAGTAGAAATTAGTTAATTATATTTTATTGGTCACTTCATATTACAATATGATTAGATGAATAATTCTTTATATCTTATTGGGCATTAGCTTTAGAGAATATTATTTGTAGATATTTTTAGAAGGTTTTGCAAATACGATGATCATGGCAAAATTATCAT